AACAGAAAAATAGCAACAATAATTTCCGTTTCTGAATCTCTAATTTCTAGCAGTGTTACTTATGATTTTAAATATTATATACATACACTTATAACTTGTATTATTATTATAATTTTTTTTAATCATGTGCATAGGATTAAGCATTAGAATGTTCTCCAATATTAAGTAAAAGCACCATCTGTTATTGTGTATATTTGTGTAATTACTATATTAGCCTTAGATTCTCTTTAGGTAACCATAGCCCTAATTTTGTATATATATTCATGGTTAATAGAATATTGAATCATCCGATTGAGATGATTTTCACCCAAACTTTTGTGTCGTCTCTCTCATATCATGGTATCAGAGTTTGATTTGTTTGATCAAAAAAATTTATATGTCAAATTATTTTTTTGCTGATTGTCTTCCTCCATAGGTTTTCTGTCAAAATTATTATTATTATTTCTTTTCCAATACCTCAAATCTTCATCTGTAGCTTCTACCGTTTCGGATTCATCGCAATTGAATTTCGCTATATTCTTCTCATCCGCCATTGAGTGCAAAAAAACAAAAAAAATAAAAAAAAGTCAAAATATGCGGCACCAATCTTTGTTTTTTTCCTAATTCCTTCAAGTTTCGGCCGATTGAGTCTTTAAATAAAAAAAAAAAAAAAGTCAAAAATTGTGGCTGCGAGTTGCGTTTCTTATTTTGGTAGCCCTTTGATTGAGTTTTCGTGGTTGTCTTCGACATTCATGGCATATTATTTGACATCGGCTGCAACAAGCGCGACTGAAGGTACCGCCGAATTGGCTGGACACCGTGTTGGTGGTCGTCCCAAGTGTTCTCATTGTGGTCGAATTGGCCATTTTGCCGCTACTTGCTTTGATATTATTGGATATCCAGAATGGTTCGGTTCCAGTGGTGACCACGATTGTAATTATGGTGGTGGCTTCCGTGGTGGAGCTCGCGACGAGAGTGGTGCTCTCACGAATGCGGTGTTCTCTAGTGGTATCGGTAATTCTTTTGTTGCAGGTTCTGTTGGTTCTTCCCCTGCTAAACAAAATAATCTCTTGTTTAGTACGCGTAATTTATTTGATTGGATGTACGACTGTGGGGCAACTCATCATATGACAGGGTTCTTGGAGTTTATTTCTGATGTTCATGATATTCCCGCTCGTCCTGTTCAATTGCTTATTGGTTGCTTGACTATGGCTAGCAAGGCTGGGACTGTTTATTTAGGATCTCATATCACTCTTTATGATGCTTTATACGTTCCCAGCTTTCGATGCAGTTTGATTTCATTATATCAATTGTTGGATCGGTTTGACTGCACCGCTCAGTTTACTAACAAATCCTGTGTTATTTGGGACCACACTTCGCAGAAGGTAATTGGCGCGGGTGAGCAGCTGAGAGGTCTCTACTTCTTTCGAGAGACGGTTTCTACAGCAGTTTCTTGTGTTCGGAAGGTTTCTGCCGATGTGTGGCATCAACGTTTGGGACATCCGTCTGCTCAAGTATTGTCCCAGGTTCCTGTTATTGATTCTAGTTCTCGTAATTTGCATAGATCGTGTGATGCTTGTTTTCGTGCTAAACAACATCGTCGTAGTTTTTCTCTCAGTCAGACTGTTAGTCACGAGATTTTTCATTTGATTCATTGTGATTTGTGGGGTCCGTATCGTGTTCCGTCCTTTTGTGGTGCACGATATTTTTTGACTATTGTGGATGATTGTTCTCGTGGAACATGGGTTTATTTATTGAATGATAAAGACGGAGGTTGCTTCTACGGTGCTGAATTTTTTTTCTATGATTAAGAGACAATTTGATAAATTGGTGTTCGTTGTTCGTAGTGATAATGGAAGTGAGTTCATGTGTTTGGCCTCTTATTTTCGTTGTCAAGAGATTGTGCATGCGACTTCTTGTGTAGGCACCCCTCAGCAGAATGGGCGTGTAGAACACAAACATCAACATATTCTCAATGAACCTCGTGCTTTGCGTTTTTAGGCTCATTTGCCTCTTTCTTTTTGGGGTCATTGTGTTTTGACTGTGGTCTATCTGATAAATCGGACTCCTTCCTCGGTTTTACATGGTAAAACCCCATATGAGATTTTTATGGTTCGACTTCTTTTTTGTCTCATTTTCGGGTTTTTGGTTGACTTTGTTATGCTCATAACCAAGATCGTAATGGTGACAAGTTTACTGCTCGGTGTTATCGTTGTCTATTTGTTGGTTATCCTTTTGGCAAAAAGGGGTGGAGTTTGTATGATTTGGATCGTCAGACTTTCTTTGTCTCTCGTGATGTAGAGTTTCTTGAGGTTGAATTCCCATACCAGTCAGACTCGTCTGAGCCAGATTCTTTGCCACCGCCTCTTGTTGTGCCCGTTTCTTCTACGCCGAATGATGATGAGGATCTTCCGGTTGTTCCTTTGCCTCATGTTTCTCTTGATATTGGGTCTTCTGCTACTGATATGGACACGTCTGACAATAGGGGGTTCCGTTACCACTACCCCTCCCACTCTTCCAGTGGAGCCCTTGAGTCGTGGTCATCGGACTAAAGTTCCTTCCATTCGGCTGAAGGACTTTGTGGTTGACACTGTTCGGCCCTCGAGTGAACCCCTCATTGTTTCTCCTCAGTTGTCTCCATCCTCCGGTACACCTTATCCCATAGCACATTATGTTTCTTGTGATTCATTCTCTCCAGCTCATCGAGTTTTTTTGGTTGCTATCGCCTTTGCTGTTGAGCGTCGCACTTTTGTTGATGCCGTGACTGATCCTCGATGGCGAGCCGCTATGCAGGATAAGATTCGTGCCTTGGATAATAATGGCACGTGGGATGTAGTTTCTCTTCCATCTGGGAAGCGTGCGATTGGGTGCAAGTGGGTCTTTAAGATCAAGCATAAGTTTGATGGTTCCGTTGAGCGCTATAAAGCACGTCTGGTGATTTTGGGCAATAATCAGGTGGAAGGTCTTGACTATCACGAGATGTTTGCTCCCGTCGCCAAAATGGTTACAGTCCGATTATTCTTGGTTGTGGCTGCTGCTAAGCATTGGGAAATTCACCAGATGGATGTTCACAATGCTTTTCTTCATGGTGATTTGGCTGAGGAAGTTTACATGAAGTTTCCTCCTGGTTTTCGTTCTGGCGTTGATGGGCAAGTTTGTCGTCTTCGTCGTTCTCTCTATGGCTTGAAACAGGCCCCCCGCTGCTGGTTTTCCAAGTTGATTACGATTTTGAAGTAGTATGATTTTTGTCAATCCTATCATGATTACTCTCTTTTTACATTGCATCGTGGTTCTGTCCATCTGCAAGTTCTGATCTATGTTGATGACTTGATTGTTTCCGGGAATGACACCACATCCATTGCAGCCTTCAAGAGTTACTTGAGTCGTTGTTTTCACATGAAAGATCTTGGATTGCTTAAGTATTTTATGGGTATCGAGGTTGCCTGGGATTCTTCTGGATTCTTTCTCTGTCAGCGGAAGTATGCTCTTGACATCATAGCTGAGGTTGGATTACTAGGGAGCAAGCCAGCTGATTTTCCATTAGAGCAGAATCATCAGCTACCTCTTGTTGAGGGTGATCTATTGTCTGATCCCGAGCGATATCGTCGTTTAGTCGGACGTCTTATCTATCTTGTAGTGACTCGACCTGAGCTGTCCTATTCGGTGAATATGCTCTCTCAATTTATGCATCAACCGCGTCAGGCTCACTGGGACTCTGCTCTGCGTGTGGTTTGATATTTGAAAATCTCTCCTGGTCAGGGGATTCATCTTCGTACTGACTGCGATCTTCAACTCTATGCATGGTGTGATTCGGATTGGGCATCTTGCCCTCTTACTCGGCGCTCTCTTTCTGATTGGTTTATTCAGCTGGGTCAGTCACCTGTTTCTTGGCGAACCAAGAAACAACCTGCTGTCTAACGCTCTTCTGCTGAGGCTGAATATCGGGCGATGGCTACTACATTGTGCGAGTTGAAGTGGTTGCAGGGACTATTATCTACTCTTGGTGTCGCTCACTGTCAGCTATGCGGTTACACTGTGACAGTCAGTCTAAACTGCATATTGCGGCAAATCCAGTTTTTCACGAGCGGACTAAGCACATTGAGGTGGATTGTCACTTTGTTCGAGATGCTGTTCTTCAGGGCCTCATTTCTACTACTCACGTTCCTTCTAGGGAACAACTCGCTGACATCTTCACCAAGGCGCTTGGGAAGCGCGAATTTGATTTTTTTCTTGGCAAGTTGGGCATTCAAAATCCGCATGCTCCAATTTGAGGGGGGGGTGTTATTGTGTATATTTGTGTAATTACTATATTAGCCTTAGGTTCTTTTTAGGTAACCGTAGCCCTAATTTTGTATATATATTCATGGTTAATAGAATATTGAATTATCCGATTGAGATGATTTTCACCCAAACTTTTGTGTCGTCTCTCTCGTATCACCATCTCCGAGTCAAATTATAAAACCACATAAACACCATGTTAAAGCCAAAAGGGTATGGTAATAGCAGCAACTTATTCTTGAATGTATTATTTTATGACCCATAATACAAGGTTTTAATTAGCACTATCTACGGCCAATGTTGCAATAATAACTTATCGACTTCATAATCACACGGCTGACCCAAATTTCTGTTCAACATACGAAAACCAGTTGCTCAAACGAATGTGCATTTGAGCGCTACGAGAGTGGGAAGCACGAGAGGTTGAAGATAGCGAAAATAAGCCTCTTGCGTATAGTGTATGCCGTCCCAATAGATATATTGATTCGGGTTGGGACAAACGGGCACTCCCGGGCTACCACAAAACCTCGTGCTGCTGTAACTATATTTCCCGCCAACTCCACAACATGCTTTTAGTGTCAAGTTCCCTATTAAGGACAATGTGATGAAACTATTAAGTAGTCTAAAATATTTTTATCTTTTAATAAGAATATTTGATGAGATAAATAACGGAAAACTTGCCTGAGAAAAAATCTTGTTGCAAGACTGTTGTCACGCCTGTGTATATGTCTGCATACAATATTTGTGTGGTGGGAAATTTCGAAGGGAGCTTCAAAATTTCGGCTTGGAGGGCTGCGTTTTTGGAGATTATGAGATTATTGATGCTCTTGAGACAGCCGAAAAGATCGTAGGCAAAGGGATTGGTATCGGGTAAGGCCGTGAGAATATAAGGGTAGCATCCGAGGGGACCGCTTCCGGGTATTACTATTCGATTCGCGCCCATGTTGATCAATTCCTGTTTTTTTTTTTTTAAATTCAATTTAAAAAAATATATATTAAATAAATAAATGCATTCTAGAATTAAGTCATTAATCATCAGACAACTACTAGAAGACAACTACTAGAACGTGCGACTTTAATAACGAAAATTGTGTTTAGGGCATATTATTCTGTGACATTGTTGGTTAGTGAAAACAAGGGTGTTTCAAAATTGTGTTTAGGGCATATTATTCTGTGACATTGTTGGTTAGTGAAAACAAGGGTGTTGATGCTGAGAAACGGATTTCGTTCTTTTTTGTAACAAGTAACCATTTTCTAGTATTTTAGGGGATAGTGATCAAATAAGAAACGAGATTATATGTTCCTAATTATACAATAATAGAATTTGAAATGAAACTGTTTGTTCCTAATTATTCAGTAATAGAAACCAAATTCGTAATGGATTGGTCCGTTCTTGATATCTTAATATTAACGACAATCAGGCTTTTGCAATTTTAGAATATTTTCTATTTTTTTTTTCGGTTGTACATATAATATCCCAAAATCTCTAGAATAGATCAGTACTTAGTCTAGTTACGTACTGTTGTAGCATTTACAATGGCACGGACAATGGCTGGGATGTAAGTGGAGGCTTCTCGGATAGATATGCCCTGGACTAATGCGTAACCGATGTCGTTCGCCTCGTTATCGCCCATGAATAACAGCGAATTTCTTAGCCTCTCTCTGCAATCTAACAAGCAAAGACATCGACTTTTAGTAATAATTATTTTATCGAGGCTAAATTTCATCTTTAGTACACTGTATTGACCATTTTGTGAAAATGGTCCATTAGGCGTCTTCAAAAATGGTCCACTAAATTGTCATTTTAATCAAAACTCGTACAAAAGTCAACATAGTATAATAAAAATATCGTACGTAAATAATATACGATCGAAGTTAATTAAATGTTTATATCAATTACCTTGTGGTGTTGAGCATATAGTTTTGAGATAATCTTTAAACCAATTAAGTTGACTGCTAAGAGGAACGACATAAGGTGGAATTTGAATGCTCCTTTCAGTGAAGAATGAAGTATCGAGCACTGGGCTTCTCGCCACTGCAAAGACGTGTTGGAAAAATCAGTTGTAAAACTTGGGTTTGACCAGGTTTTGACTGAATTTTTTATGGCTAAATATTTAATTTTAGTTGAATTAAATATTGTAGAAAAATTCTAC